CCCCCCCCCCCCCCCCCCCCCTTGAGAGCTCCCTCTCCTCATTGTGCCTTTTTCAATAGAAGGATTTTCACATTCAACGCAAATCCCGAAGGAGGATCAGCTAGTGAGACCAGAGTTCAGTCAATCACTTGTTTTCACTGATGTTCCTTTAAAGATGATAAGTGCTTCCTTATTATTTCATCAAATAGGAAGAAGAAAAAAACCTCTTAAGTATAGATAAAAATATGCTATAAAGGCTCTGGAAAATAGTTTAGGATTTGAAAGAATTGAGGGATAGAAATAGGATTAAAAGCTCAGTAAACATCGCAATATAATATAATGTAAGCTATATAATATATATATATATTACAAAAAAAACTAATTAGCTCTAAACTTGCTATCTAATAGACACACTTTGACATAAAATAATTACCATTTGCGTGTGTGTGTGTGTTTGTGTGGAGAGGGTGTGTTTGTGTGTGCGTGTGTGTGTGTGTGTGCGTGTGTGTGTGTGTGTGTGTGTGTGTTGCTCTGTCTGCGTGAGCGCTTTATCACAAATCAGAGTGTCGGCGTCTGAAGCACAGGGCAAGAGTTCACCGGTCCGTCGCTCGCTCGGGGAGTTTCTCTCAGTTTGGTGATAGCTGGCGAAGTTTAGAGGCTAAAAAACCAAACACATGACAGCTGAGAAGGAGTCTCCGTCCGCAACATAACTTCAGCCTGACTCATGGACACAAGTTAAGACCGTGAACTGCGCTGGATGCGTTCAGCCGGTGTGGCGTGTTTACTGGCTTCACGGACAGCAACGACGATGCCCTTCTAAACGGGGGGGGGGAGGGAAGTAACGTTACTGTGGGGGTAAGTTAACCGCTTTAACGGCTACGTGCAGAAGTGGTGAGCGGAGACACGGTTTCTTTTTTCGCGGGTGTCACTTGAGAAAGAAGTCTGTGGAGTTATTGAGAAGTGTAACGTTAACTCGCGCGGACGTTTCATCCGGCTGACAGTTAACTAACGTTACCGGTGAACTAAATTAAAACTATTTTACATATTTATTTCTTAAAACGGGATTCGGCAACCTGCTGCTGGTTAATGGCAATTTTACTGACGCCATATGTAAAAAAAAAAAAAAAAAAAAAGGACAACAAGTCGCCAAACCAAACATAAAGGATACCTGCCACCGTTAACGTTAAACTGTCAGTTTGAGATGCAGAGTTAGCGTTCGTTACCGTAGGTTTTGTAACAGTATGGAAGCCACGAAAGTGTTGCAGCTTGTGCCATTTAACCACCCAGCAGGCTTCATAGCAGATGAACAACGTCACATTAAAGTTATCCGAATAACTGGGTGTTTATGGTCAAGCAAAGAGACGTCACATTTTACATTTAAATGCTCAAAGTACTTGCTAGCACGTGTGACTTGAGACTATGCTCTTGAACTGTCATTTTTTACATTTGTGGAACGATTGAGTAGCGTTGCTTTCTTTAAACAGCACTCATGAAAAGGCTTATCAGTGAGAAGCTCGGGCCCATTAATTAAATAAATTGTGACTTTCTGCGAAAAAGGCCATCGTAAATGAAACACATCTGTGGTGATGATCTCATTTGAACAACAAAGACTCGTGCTGGAGGCCCCAATTACACAAGCTGCTTCCATACATTAAAGGGATTATGATAATTAACATGTAGTAGTGCAGCGTGGCACTTGCCGAGCATCTTCCCTCCTCAGAGGGGCCTCATCGGAGCTGCGATGACGTCACCGCCGGAGAGCAGGGGCCTGAAATAATCAGGCATCTCTATAGCGAGGGTTTCCATGACGACGCAGCCTCCTGGTTCAGATGGGGGGGGGACTGAGTCTCAAACGAATGCTTTGGATATTATGGGTGTTTGTGACTCGTGGTACAAAAGCCCTTGTCTGACAATCACAACATGAGACCTCGTTGTGTTTTATTGTTTAAATAGCACTACACATATCTATTATTCTAACGGTGGACCTCCCCTGTAGGAGGTGACACACTGAGACGATTTGATGTGGTATATTTTGTATTTATGGCATAGACAGAATAAGCATGATGTGAAAGGATAAGGTTGTCAGTTTAATGTCAAACTGCTGAATTAAAAGATGAAACTGTTTTGTTCCTCCAGTTGTTTGAGAGGCCCGAGACATGACGTCCATTGGAGCCGATAGCTGACACTGTAGAATGAGAGAGGATGGAGCAGACAGACAGCCCTGCCCCTGCGAGCAACAACCCTAATGGGTTTGTCAACCGAGTGTTTAATGTTTCTCTGGATGTGGAGAATGAGACCGGCAGTGTTTATATTCAGGAGACCGGGCCAGGGCCTGCAGAGGGCCAGGGAGAGACCCAGGCTGCCTCTTCTCAGACCCCTGTCAAGGAGAGACAGGAGGTCAACCGGAGGCCCCGTGCCACGGGGGGCATCTGGAGGATCTTGCACCGAAAGAGAGCCGTGTCAGAGCTGGAGCGCAGACCCCACTCCATGATCCTGCCCGGGGAGGCTTCCATCCCCAAGCTCTCGTTTGCCGACAAAGTTCGCTCCTTCAAGAAGCTGAAATCCCCCTCTGTGTTCAGAGGGAAGACGGGGAAATTGTCCACCGCCAAGTTCGGCAGCTCCTGGGTGGATGAGGAGTCTTTCTGCCGGGACATCGGCACTCCTCAGCAGTCCAGCAGGGGCCCGCTCAGACACCGCGGCAAGAGGCACTCCTACGCCGGCCACACAGCAGAGTTCGACTGCTCGTTCGAGGACATCGACCTCACGGCTCCAGCAGACGGCCACCAGCCCGCTGTGATGGGAGAGGCTGTGACTCAGAACGGTTGCAAACTGTCAGACAGAGTTTGCTATACCAAGAGAAGCCACGGAAATTCAAACAACTGCAACAAAACGGAGGCAGGCTGCGATGAGCCGAGCGTTAAAGGTAGCCCGAGCACCCACCACGGTAGAGGGAGGAGGCACAAAGACGTGTGGAGTTACCTGAGGCGGATTTCCCTTTTGGGGAAGGCCAATCCGGTCTACTCAGAGCGGAGCTTTGACTCTGAGCTTCCCTCTTTGGACAAGACCATGGACTCAGACTACGGGTCTGTGGACTTTGAGAGTGTCAGAGACTTTCAGCCACCGCCCCCAAAACACTCTGACACCAAGGGGCACTTTGGTGGTCTGTTCAAGTTTTTCAACAGTGTCGCAGACACGGCCAGAAAGTGGCGGACGACATCGCACTCCTTCTCTCCTCCAGAGGGAGAAAGGACACCGGTGGGCTCTCCACGGGCCCCGCAGCCGTCAGTGGACAGCATCCACAGTGTGTCCCTCACACTCCACAGTGAAGGACTTCCAAAGTCCCAGCCGATGCCGTCATCACCGGTGACCGCTAAATCCTCACACTCAGGCAGCCTCGACAGCGAGGCTCCAGCACCTGTGACAGGTGGACGATCCCCTAAGGTGGTCCTAAAGGCCTTCAGGGCATGCCCAGGAGCTCGAGCTGTCAATGGCCTTCAGGGTTCTGAGGGCTCAGACAAACATGTAGACAGAGAGACAAACCACAGGTCCACGGCCATAGTAGAGAATCATATCCCCCGGTCAGGTCCGACCACAGAGACTAAAGAAGAAGCAGAGGTTGAAAGTGATCCATTAAGCTGTCTCTGTCAGGAGGAACAGGTAGCAGGGCAGACAGGAAATGAGCAGGATTCCAGGGATGCTCCACCGTTCACCCGCCAGATACAGGAAGTGAATTTCCAATCACAACAAGGTGATGAAGAGAGCACAACCAATAGTGTGCCCGCATCAGATTCCACAGAGGAAATATTCAAGGTATGTGACTTTAAATACAAAATGAGCAATGCTAATTACCAGCCACTGAATTTGAATAAATGCATTTGTTAATGAAGTCAGTGATTTGTGTTGCTGAACAGCATTTGTGTCTCACAGTCATGCCATAACCACAATCCATTGCAGGCTTTTTCTCACATCATTAACAATTGCCAAAACATGTAATTACTGCATAAATGCTCAAAAGTATCATGTATGTAACTGTTTTAACCACGGTCATTCTTTTGCTTCTTAAAAATCATCAACAACAAACTAGACGGTAAATAGCACCAGAGCTGTTACTCATTTCCCCATGATAGACGTTCCTAGGTGTGGTGCATTAGCTGTCTGGGAGAAACAAAAACATTCAACACACCACCAGCCTGTGAGGACATGAATGGGCAGTAGTTGTCCTTTTGCCCCATCTGTTGGAGAGAGGAGGAAGCAGTCAGTAGTGACGATGGTGGACAACACCATATTAGTTTGTCCCCTCTCCTGCTCAGCCAGCCTTGTGTGGCCTGCAAGGAAAACCCTATTTCCCATAAAGCCGTTTGTATGTGGCTGCAGTAACCCCAGAGCTCACAGTGATGTCCGTGCATCATGACGTCACCCTTTCCCTTCTCACTCCAGTGGAGGCATTAGTCATCCCCCTTCCAGTCACACCATCGAGTCAGGACACGTTAGCCCTGACTCCCGATGACAAAATGAGATGTGACATCTCAATACTCAGCACACTTTCATCGGGGTTTATTATGCAAGGGCCTGTGGGAATCTGTGTTTTGGGAAGGGTGTTAATGATTGATTGTTTTCTGAAGTTTAAATGCCATTCAGGGACTTTCTCTGGCACCAGCCACTAAATGCATAGCAATTAGAAACATGAGCTCATGGGCTAGTAGAATCTTTTTGATATGAAATGAGGTGTATTTTACCGAATCTATGGAGACGTTCTTCCCCAATTCCCAACACAAGAAAAGCAGTGTTGCACCTTTTAACTGGGCCAAAAATCGCTGAGTATCTGTGCCAATCACAGCTGTGTGAGCAGATTGCCAGCCAGACAGGCTGCGGTGTGAGACAGCTGTGCCCAGCCGGGCCCGACTCGAGCACAGAGAAGGCCTCTGTGCCCCACAAGCCGCCGCCAAATCGTCCTCGCCCGGCCTCAGCCGCACTGGACCCGTGGAGGCCCGACCCGGACCGAGATCTCTGCGACCACTACGGCGAGGTCGGCTCGCTGTGCCGGCGGAGACGCAGGCCTGTTCCCGCCACGCAGCGCTCTCGGACGGCCGCTCGCTCCAGGCCCTGCTCCGTCATAGAGACCAGTGTTACTAGGGAGACGCAGTCCACGGAGCTGCACCACAGAGTAAGACGTCAAAAACAATACAACACAGGGCATTCACGCATCATTTCACTGAATGCAAATACACAAACATTGACTTTAAAATGACAAATACGCCGTCCCCGCAATTATATAAATACACGGTTATACATTCATGTGCAGTTAGCATACATATATCATACCCTGAGGTCAAAAAAATCGCTGATCAATATACCACAAGCCCAAAATGAATCAAACACACACGACAGACTTTGAAGGGCAGCCCAGTACTAACCCAGTATTTATACAACGCTCAGTGTTAGTTGCCACAGTGCATGTATGCTCTGCCCCATTTATAGAGGCCAGTATTTCTGGATGCTGCTTTTCCCTCAGCTCACCTCCTCCCCCTCTCCCTTCTTTCCCTCCCTCCCTCTCTTTCTCTCACCCATTCTTTCTTTTTCTTTCTTTCTTTCTTCCTGACTTCTCTTTCTCTCTCCCTCACTCTTAGTCTCTCTCTCTCTCTTTTTTTTTTGTCGCCAATTTTCTGCCTCATCGCTCCCATAAGCTCTACCTCTCATTGCCCTAACTCAGAGTCATTTCATTTTGTCCTGTGAGACCGCCCCGGTTGGCATGATGTATAGTCTCTCAATGCGCCAGAATAGACTTCCTGGATGTGAAATACTTTAATTCACTGCAAAAAAAAAAAAAAAGAAGGGGGACAACGCAGTAAGGGGGGGGGGGGGGGGGGTAACATGAAGGGCAGGGGGATGTGTCCATTCAACCTTGTGAGTGTGTGTATCATAAGTTACATATGGACTATAGGAGATGCCCTAACCACTCAGTCCCCTCTAGGCCTTGTCTCGCCCCCCGGGTGTGTCCCCGCTAGAGCCCCCACTAAGGGCTTCTCTCCTGCGGTGCCGCTCCCTGCCGCTACCCCCCAGCACTCTCACTGCCTTGGCGCTGCTCCTTCCTCACTCAGGTACCCTTTTGTTTTTGTTGAATTCCCCCCCATTAATACGCAGGCTGTTGATTGATGAGTGTTTGGTGAAATTGATCATCTGTTTGCCCGGGCCGTCTCTGCACGCGTCCGTCCCCTCAGACGTGGGTCAGACGTCATCGTCGGTGCGCCTGCGGTCAGGAGGCTCCGGCAGCTGCAGGAGGAGGAGGCTGCTGAGACCCGGTTCGGAACCACTGCAGGTCAACATTGTGAGTCACAACACACACACGATTACAGATGAATCTATCTTTTACTCTTCTTTCTGTCAGGCTTTCAAGGGCTTTATAAGAACATATTGTACAGATTATAAACAATACTATGACCACTATTGACACTGTTGATATTGACTCCCTGCATACACACATTGTCACACTGGGTTTGTCCACCTGTCACACACATATTAGCAGATGTAAATGAGATGATGGGACGTAGCATAGAGCAGGAACGTGACAAATATCCTCCCACTGATACTGATAATAGGGAGAGGTCAATGTTTCATCAGACGATTAGGGAACTGATCCGTGAAGATGGTGGCCACGTGGATTAATGTCATCCGGTACTCTTGGGCCATTACTCATCGTGAACAGGCCACCCGACACATCTGATGGGGATTCTACTGGAAGGAGACGCAGAGTTTCTCTGACGGGGTGTGGTGCACATTTCTGGGGCTTTGTCCAACCTCTGTACCTGCCGAACCGCAACGCACAGAGCGCTTAACGCTGTTTACATCACTGCTTTGATCGCACTAAATTGGATCTCTGCTCCCGAGTCCCACATGCAAGGTTTCATTGACTGCAATTCAGCTTTCTTTCATTGAGGAAAAGGCGTCATGCATAATGTTTCCGAGCAGTGTTTCAATATGTGAGAAAAGAAGGAGTGTGCACGGCGTTGTAAATATGTGAGCTGTTTACTAGGAGTCAGTGAGGGTTCACCACAGCGTTTGTGGTACAATCACAAGTCCATGTTCATGAGGGATGCCGTCTACTCCACTGCTGAATGCTGAGCCCAGGGCTCTCTGCCTTGGCACGTCCATGCATTGAAATCTAGTGAACTGTATTCGATGCCGCTGCATTTAGGCTTTGATCATAACTTCTTCTTCTTTTTCTTTTTCTCGCTGGTCTAAGTAGTGTTTGTGAGCCACTGCACGTTGTTGCCATGACACTCGCTGGCTGTTGTTCATCTCCTTGCTTCTATCTTTAGGCCGCCTTTTTAAGTGTGAGCTAAATAGAGAAAGTGTGTGGGTGAGAGAGAGAAAGAAGAAAGGGGTGGGAGAGAAACGGAGCGGGGAAGAGAGAGATGCTCCCTTTTGTGTGTGCACTTTTTGTGCCGTGGCCCTCCCCTGGGGTAGGGAACGTGGACTCACAACACTGGAAATGTCTTGTGTGTGTGTGTGTGTCTGTGAATGGCGAGGGGGCAGTTCATTTGCCTCAAGTTCTGGGATTCATGACTGCGTCTTGAGCATGGAGGTAGCACGTACACTGTGTATGCTGCATAAATACTTTACATGCACAATATGACAATATATAACGCAGCTGTAGTGGAGGGACACGGATGGATGACGCTTCAACGTTAATGTCTCCTTTCTGGTAAGTCAAGCATCGCTTACATGTTATGGATCTCATGTCAGCATCGGCTCTGTTGTTTGGGATACAGTGCAGTGTGTGTGTGTGTGTGTGTGTGTGTGTGTGTGTGTGTGTTACAGCCTTCCTGTTAGGACGACTACTAGAACCTGGAGGCCGCAGGCAGAGAGAACGTGTTCTCACTGCAGTGGATTAACTGCTAATGCTGACGCCTCTCTTCTCCCTTTCATTTAACTGGATTTCTCCCCCTAGTCACTGCCCTCTCCTCTCCTCTCCTCTCCTCTCCTCTCCTCTCCTCTCCTCTCCTCTCCTCTCCTCTCAACAAACACTTAGCAATGGGAGTCTTTGGTAATTCCCATGCAGATGAGAGGACAGTTCCCTGTGTGTTACTGATGCCGTGCCCGAAGCTCTGCTGTCAACTTGTCAGAGACGGGGCCCGTCTTATTAAGGGCTTCACGCAGATTAGGAGTTTCAAGAGCAATTTTATATGATAAAGTTTGGCCCAACCCAGGTCTGTCTGGTCATAATCATATTACGCAATCCTATCTATTTATTATGAACGCATGAGTCAGCAGGCAGAGGCGAGTTGAGGCAAGCGGTAGGGCAGTGTTGGGGAAAAAGTGCAACTACTTATGCAAGCGCACTTTTTTTTTCATACACCAGTGCTCAGCTGTTAATTTGACCACACACACACACACACACATGCATGCTGTTTATATCTGCCTCCCTCGGCCCCGGGAGCCTATGATACACCCTCTTCTCTCTGACGCACACTTCACGTGCACACTCCCGATGCATTCAGAATTCATCTGTCGGGGTTAGTGAGTCATCACGTCGACGACTTCTTTATTTGCCGAGAAAGGAATAGCACTGGCCGGCGATACCTCTGTCGAACACGCTGTGATTGTGCGGCATCGGTCTCGCCCCGGGGCCTTATTGCTTTCTTTAAAGTTGTGGGCAAACCGCGGGAATAGGTCTCCCTCAAAAATAACCGCGTGTATGATGTACGGCCCTCTCTTTGAGCCACAGGCCAACTAGAATCCTTTATCAGTGTTCATTCGACATCGTACCCCTGCCAAGGTGCAGGCAGGTATCCGCCGTGACTTACTGCAGCCACCAGCTAACGCTGTTCTGCAGGACGCATCGGGCTCTAATAAATGGTATCGCCCAATCTGAGCAGGTGGTCGTGTCAGAGCCTCCCCGGGCTGTTTCTTATAAAGAATAGGTTTCTACCTAGCAGGTGTGTGTTGTGTGTTGTTGTTGTTGTTGTATGCTTTGGCATGCGACTCATGCACTTACGTGGTGTGTGTTTTTGTGTGCTAGAGAGAGAGAGAGAGAAAGAGACAGATAGGCTCAGGGCCTTATTTCTTATATAACTGTTGAGAGGGTTTCCTTTGCTCTGGACAAAAGCCATTTCCACTTTTATTTCAGATGGCTGCATGTTCCCTGGGACTGTGGGGAACTGTGCTGTTGTGTTAATTCTCCCACTCACTGCTGTGTCCCGTTTTACAGTATGTCCGCGTTCTGTTCGTATTTCGTCAGATCGTGCACGCCTGTGCATGTCCAGGTTTGTTTTTGTGCATTCTTGAAGCTCTGTTTTTTTTTTTGTAAAACCTCATCAGGGCCAGTTTCTCTACCCTTCCATCATCACTCCTAAGCACTGCCACTGCCTTAGTAGGACAGTGGGGATATATTGGTGGAAGCAATGTCACAACACGCAGCGCTGTTTTGTTATGAGACTATTTAAAGGCCTAAGGGCACTCCGGTGCTCGTTATCCGGCCTCAGTTGTATCATTTGTAGGAGTTTTCCCAGGCTGCTCAGGTGATTTCACCCACAGTCATCAGCTTCTGCTGTTTGTGTAACGCACACTGCTGTTTGTGTAATGTTTTCATGGCTATCTGACAGCTGTGTATTTGGGATAAAGATTTTTTTCTGGTCTTGAGTCAACTCAGAAGAATGTCACCTTGTGTTAGGTAATAGGAGGATCCCTTGTTATCTGACAGCACCATCTGAGAGCAGACACCCCACAGGCTGAAATGTGTAACCGATGTCTTTCACACAGACATTGTGGAAGTTTTATGTCTGTATTAATTCCACTTATAACTTCCACTGTATCCATTCTGTTCACCCGACTATAATAATAGTTTAGAATTGGATATTTCTATGTCTCCTTACCTCTCTAGGATGCACTGCCTTGTAGAGAGGAGGTCCTGCCGGTGTCTAGTGGCACCTTGAATTTGCTTCGACGTCTTCCCAGATGCAATTTGTGGGTTACAGAAATGAAATTGACTTGACTTGACTTTAGTACAAAGACACATGATAGTTCCATCTCACTCAACACTTCACATTTTGCCATCAGCTTTCTCTTGCAGCAACCTTTAACCGAATCCTTCCACGTGCTGATTAAATAACCTCAGTAGCAACAGTACTTAGCAAAATATAAAAAATGATTGATGTGATAAACTAGGGCAATCGATATCACGATATGAGAATAGATATCATCTTAGATTTTGAATATTATACTGTTCTTTTACTTGTCAAAAATCCCATTGTGTAAATACTTTTGTGAAACCACCAATAGACAACCCAACAATATCGCCCAGGTCTATGATGAACAAATAATGAATAACTGTGTAATCCTATATACATTCAAAATGAATATTTTATTAAGTATATTGTATTGATGCTCAGCTCTCATTCTCGCTAAAAAAAATAAAAATGTAACCAACAGTGACGTGGGCGAGTTGTACATGGCGTCAATACATTATTCAGACGTGATTAGAGGTTGTCATCTCGCTGCTTTGTCAACTCACAGGCTAATATCTGCTGGCTGTTGTCTTGGGGATCATGTGTGTTTTGGAATAAATTGTCTGTACCTTCAAAACAGCGGCAACTCAATCTGCCTTACAAATCACCTGCTTCGAAAACAATCATTTTTGCAATATTGTCAGTCAACACAGTTTTGGCAGCAGGTAAAGGCAGCATCCTGATGAGACAATTTTAAAGGGGCTATAAACAGGGGGTATTTTAAATACCAGTACTTTTACTTAAAGATGGTTTAGTACTCTTAGTACATTTAGAGCAATGAGTACACTTCATACTAACATGTAACATTTACAGCAATCGAGTATTGTTATGAGCTCCAGAGAAAACTTGTAGGCACAATGACCTTTCAAGGGAGCAATAAGCAATCATGCATTTTATGATGGAGAGCATGTGTGGCTTATTACAAAACATATCATTTTTTTGTAAATTAAAAACTAGACAACAGCTGTGATTTAAATATGCGTAAATTGAGTAGTTGTACCCCGAATAGAAGACGCCGCTCCCGTCCTTTTGTCCCTGCCCTAAAATAATGAGACAGAAGCTAACTGCCTGTAAAGTGTGCTGCTAGTTAGAATGTATCCTGCAGGCCTTTGTGAAAGATGGGCTGTATTTTTCCGGCAGCTGTCACTTCTTGTGTACATAATTTAGCTTAACTTTCTGCCTCTGACCTCTCTGGCTCGCCCTGGCTCTCCCTGCTACACCACATGCGGCGTCAGAGCAAACCCTACGACACGTACGCGTATTATGCAACCGCCGACGCTCCTCGGACTGCTTTCTCGTTCCCCCCTCCCCATCCGCCTCC